AGTCCTTGTGAGTGAAATCAATTAAGTTTAGAAAATCTATTTATTGCCGGGGAGATTAAAAAGTAATTAGCAATTAGAAAGAAATCTGCAAAGGTCCTAATTATAATGAAGCAATGAATGTAGTTTCTGAACAGAAGGAAGGTTTTAATACAAGGGAAGTTTGTATCTTATCTGTTGTTTATTAAAAAAATATCAAACCTGATCTTTTTACTGTTTTGGTGATGATGTCTGGAAAGACCTCCTGGATTTTTTGTCAGAATGCTGACACAATAACAACTTCCCTAATACCAGTTTATTAAAACCCAACTGCAGGATTAAGTACTTAGTTAAGAACATTTATCAACAGATAGGAAAATTATCTTAGATTTTTTAAAAATCTCATATTTTTTTCATCATTTCCTAGAGTTGCTTTTAGTTTTTATTTAGCTTTTTATTTTTACTTTTACAATCATATTTTTTTTTACTTTTCTAAGAGCTGGGCATTGTTTAATTTACACACCAAGTTTCCACGAGATTTACAGCACCAGAAATATCTGACTGTTGGAAAACAAGTAGTAAAACCCAGCCTAAAGTTGGTGGTGGAACATTTCTGTCAACCATGCAGACAAAAACTGGGGAAAGAACTAAAATGAAGGAAAAGTCAGCAACAACAAATCCGTGGAGTTTAGGGGACATGTGAAGATAGTGGCTTATTGGAGAGCCCTGGGTATCCTGGGGGGAGGATTTATCGGCCACTTCTGTCCAGATTGCCCGAGTTTCTTCCCTGCTGTGCCACTGCAGTTATTCCTGGCTCTGACAGACACGTGGTAAAATGGAACTTAAGCTTCCACTCTTGTGTGGCAACATTTCAGGAAGATGGCTGCACCAGTAATGATTGCTCAAGCAGCACTAGGAATTCTTTATGGGTGAGGGCTACTTTAAACACTTTCCTCAAACCATTAACAATGTGAGCATGTCATATGTGTAAATGACTTTTGCATTCATAGCTGATCATCTTTTCCTCCTTCCTTTTCTCTTTACAAATCCTGGGGATCTCTGAGATGCTTCTGAGAGACAAAAAAAGGATAGAAAACCCCAGATACAAAATTYAAGGTTTTTGAAGTCTGTAGGCTTAACGTTGGATTTCCGGGGCCATGCATAAACATTTAATTAAATAATGCTCAGTCCTAGAACTGCTAGGTAAGTATAGCTTTTATAAGCAGGTGAACATTTAAGATGCCTGAAAGTCAGACTATTTCATTAAATATTTTAACCATGGATTCGGAGACCCAATGTCAAGCATAACTATAAATACAAAATAACAGTAGTAAAAGAACACTCCATTGCCTGCTGTTGTCTAAATTCACAATCAAAATTAATCCTGTGGATGCAAAACTAGAAATACTATTTTTAAAACTTCCTAAAATGGTTCAGGTCATTGTTGTGGTCCTGAATGAATGAAACGCCAATATTTTCCTCATTCTTCCCAGCATTTTTATTATTACTTTTATTGAATCTTTGTGAGGTCCTTCCTTCTTTCAAACTAACTCATCCTTCTTAGCACATGCATAATTTCATGACTTTGTAAAGACCTAGAGAKGAATTAAATTTGAGATGAAAGGAAAAGAGATTAATAGTGAAAAGGAAAAAGCTTTCTCCTTTAAAAAAGTGACTCAAATASTACAGATTCACTGCCAGTGCTTGTCTGAGAAGAATTTATGATCACAGATGTTTACAAGCCAAGACATTTGTGTAAAAAAAAGCTGCATGTTTCAGGGATCGTTTTATGCATCTGAGGAACGTATTCTTAACAACTCTTCTGCAGGTTTTATTTTTAGAGCGGTGCCACAATATTTTAGTATAATTTATTAAAAATTTAATATGCTGTTAGCTCTCAAGTTGTAAATKAAGCATGTAGGAGGAGAGGGATTACTACTGTACAGCTTCTGCAACAGGGGATAATTATAGTCCTAGAATAAGAAGGGGGTGGAAAAATACTGTGTAATAAGTTGTGTAGAGTTTTTCCTTTCAGTGACAGACTGCTTCAGTATTAAAAACTGCATATTCCTTAAGCCCCTGCTGGTGTTGGTTACCCACCCTGCCACTGATCTACAGAGAGAAGAAATGGATATGGTCAAAGGACTCATCTGTGGTTCCTCATGGCTGTTGCTCTGAGCTGACAGCTCAGTGTTTCTTGTGCTCCTGAWCCTGATCCTTTGAAGCTGATGGGGATCTATCAGGCTTCAGTTCTCTTGAGCRCCAAGGAGTCCTTCAAGGACAAAGAATTCTTGTATATGCCCTTGTTCATCCCACTTTACAGCTTCCACCCTTTTTGCAAAGACAAATTTTACTGTKTATCTAAGCCAATTCAATTTGAATTCTCTATGCACTCTATGCACTCAAAAATTCACATTTATTTTGGTTTGAAACYTTTTATTTTTAATATTTTGATTAGGTAGAGGATGAATAATGTCATGTGTTTTTACAAGTCCCATGAGGATTTTGAWAATTTCTTCTATCTATAGTTATAACATCAAAAATAATTTTGTTCCAGTAAGAAAGAAATTCTAACCTTTTTCATTTGTCCTTTATAATTACTTATAAATTACAGTGCCTCAAAGGAGCTAAGCTTGCTGGCTTTTGACCAGAGATAAGTCTCTTCAAAATGTAGATTTCTGAAGTGGCTGAACTTTAGTCTTCTTCAGAAAACATCTTTTAACCTGTAAATATCTGTAGCTGGCTGGTTAAATAAAATGCCTCAAAATGGTTAACCTCAGTCTGTGAAACATAGGCAGACAAGTGATTTCTCTGAAACATGGTTTCCATATGTGGTTTGTGTCAACACTGGTATAATGTTGTCTCAGCAGCTGAAATTTCCTCCTGAACTATACCAAGAATCTGTGGGAGAAAAAGCTTTTACAGAACAAAATTATTTTTAAAGTTTAGTAGAGTTGATGGACATTCTGCCAAAAAAAACTCCACTCTTTGTGTGGAGCAAAGAGGTGCTATTTACCTTCAGACTGTTACTTTATTCCGTATAGGGCAGCAGGGAGATTATGCAGACTGATGATCCTTTTCTTTTTGATCCAGAGTATCCACAGACTGGCGTGTTTAATCGAGGCTGCCAGTCTGGGAACTATCCTCATATCTCTTTGCTCATCATACAGGAAGATGAGACTCTTAAAACTTCCTAGTTGGTAGTAGATTATTCTGTTATTATGGCTTCATTAGCACRTTTAGCCCAATTATTTAATATTTGTACTGTGATTAAAACCATAACCTAACTGCAGATGTTATAAGTTGTTGGTGGATGACATGGACTCAACCATTCATGCAGCAGCTTGAAGAAAATATTGGACAARAGAAGAAATGAGAAGGGAAAGCCAGAAAAACATGGCAGTGGTTGGTTTTGCACTGACAGAGGAAAATCTCAGTGAATTAACCATAATTTCAATGTCGGTAATATTTTATCAGCAACAACCGTTTTTTTTAATTGGAAGCAAGACTGCAAATATTGCAAAGTCTCTTGAAMGAAATGCTGAGCAACCAGGCAGATGGTGAGATCTTGTCTTGGCCTTTCAGCATCTAAAAGGGGGGCTTATAAGAAAGATAAGAACAAAGTTTTTAATCGTGCTGAGTGTGATAGGGCAAGCAGCRTTGAGAAGTAGGTTCAGATTACATGTAAGGAATAAATTCTTCATAATAAGGGTGATAAAATACCTGCACAGAGAGGAGCTGGATGCCCCATGCCTGGYAACATTCAAGGTCAAGTTGGACAGAGCTCTGAAAAACCTGATCTATTTGAAGATGTCCCTGCTCATTGCAGGGGGCTTGGACTAGACGACCTTTAAAAGTCCTTTCCAACCCACACCATTCTGTGATTTTTCTATACATCTGAAGGTCCATGTACCACTTTACACTCTTAAGTCCTAAATTCCTGACACACTCAACACTTCCACTGAAGTAATAAGAAATAAAAAGTAAGATAGTCTACACTTCTACTGAAGTAATAAGAAATAAAAAGTAGATAGTCTACACTGTCAGAAGACAGACGCAGCAGGTTTGTATTGGCTGATAACAATTATATAGCAATAACAAACCTAAAGCAAAAAGAGGTAACTAAAAAAGGTTGGGTTTTTTTTCCCCTCTGTTGGTTAATATCGAAAAACACCAACCAATAATGATTGTGGCAAATGAACGGAGGAAAGGAAGGCTTAAAATTTTCAGGAAGCAGTGGTGCTATGGGTAAAGCGCTGAGCTAGAAGGGACATGTATTGGGTGCTGTCACTATTTCTAGACCTGCACTTCTTGGGCTCAGTTTCTCTTGGAACAGCCACACCAAAGTGCCCGCAAAGGTTCCCTTGCCTACGGGACAAATCCTAACACCGTAGAAGCTAATTTCCTCAGGAGGTTTCTTCCAGCCAGTCTCAAACCTGTAAGAGTTGCCCTGACAGCACASTAGCCCCGGTGTAAACGAGTAGCAAAACACTGCCAGAATGTCAAACAACCCTCTGCTCGCAGCAGACGGGGCTGTGCGGAGCGAGCCGCTGTGGCAGCCACCTGGAATTTCACTGGAGCGCCGTATTCCTGCCAACAGCTTCTGCCGCTCCTTTAACCTTTCCAGCCCGGCCCCCCTAAAYCCCGGGCTTTCCCTCTCGGCGCGATTACAGCTAATCCCCCCCTTCCCAGCCCCGGTAAAACCCTGCCCCTGGTCCCCGACAGCCGCAGCCGCCGCTCCTCATTGCCATTCGCCGCCGCTCCGCGCCCCCGCGGCGCGACCGCCGCCTCCCCCGCCCTGCCGCAGCCACGGACCCTTCCCGGGGAGAGGAGGGGAGGGGAAGGGAGGGGAAGGGAAGGGAGGCCGGGCCGGCGGAGCCCCGCCCGCCGCCGGGCAGCAGCAGCAGCAGCAGCGGAGAGCGGCGGAGGGTGCCCGGCAGCAGCAGCAGCAGCGCCGCTCGCTCCGCAGCGCAGGGGAGGTGAGCGGTGAGCGGCGGGCGGCTCCTTCTCGCCGGGTTCGCTTCGGCGACACAAGCTCCGGAGCGAGGGGTGGCACAGGGATGGGGCTCCGCTCCTGAGACGCGTTCGTTTATCGGTTTGTCTTCTTCTTCTTGTTTCATGAGGGATGGTGTGAAGTGGCAGCAGCCCGCTGGTTTGCGCCCGTAGTTTAAGGAGCATTGCGTTGTTACTGTCCTTCTGCAGCGTGGTGGGCTCGGTTCTATGTGAATAAGCAGTTTCGGGGGTGGGCACGTAGTGAAAATCGCGTGTGGATTATTCCCACTCTTTTCGAATGGGTGGGAGCTGTGAGGGAAGGTGACACTAGTATCTATCATGGCACGAAAAGCATCATATCTCTGGTAGAAGGCAGGATTTCYTTTWTTATTATTATTTTTTGTTTTTCAAGCAGAAATTACAAGGTGCTCGTCACGACCAGTTTGCAGAGATGTGTATTGGAAATATACAGCCAGAGGCACGAAACTGCTTCATATYATAATGAACTGGGAGCCTTTGGCTCGCATGTTGTATTTAAAGTAGAATATGTRAGACGGCATCCTTCTTTAAAGATGTCTTGAAGTGTAACCACAGAAAAAGCCTGTTGTAGTAGTGATAGGCAGTTTACTAGAGATAGCCTTCATGTATTTCTCTCAGATAGTGGGAGGAGCCAGATGACTGTTTCAGCAAAATATTTTAAAGCATAGATTGCATAGATGGTYGTAACAGAGATAGAACAACTATGGGTAAGTAAGGTTTGAACAGATTTATATGGGAAAAATTGGGAAGGAAATTGAACCATGCTATGAATAAATGGCCATGCTTGTGCAGCAGAACTACGAAATATGTACTGTATCAGAGAAAATTCACCTATCTCAACTGCAGGAAGCAGTCAGGCATTGAAGGTCTATGGAGGGAGTCCTTTATATGGAGAGGCTGCTGTGGAAAAAGCCGCTAATTAAAGCAAGTAGGATCAGTTCCTCTTTATCCTATTGACAATTTAATGTTTAAAAATGACCCTTTGACTGACTGAGGAAGTAAATCAGCAATAAGAATGAGCTTTTGATGAACGAGGGTGTCATTTTACACCTGGTCTTTATTTTTGGGAGGTGTAGGGAGAGAGGGGAWGGTGTGCAAATTAGTGGATTAAGGAATGGAATTCAAAAGAAAATTTTTTGTAAGCAGTCATTTTCTGCTAATGCTTTGCAGCACTACCTCTGGAAGGCAGATGCAACTGTACAAATCTATGTCAAGTTCTGACTCTTATGTTTGCAGAGAGATTTTAACCAGATAATTTGCAGGAATAGATAACAGTATAGTAAYAGTGATTCTACCTGTATCTGAAGATATTTTAGTGACTTAAAAACTTAACTAGATCTAAAACTGCACATGCAAGCAGTTGGCTATTGCCCACTATGCTGTTGTCCCAGAGTGACCTATTCCCCTCTAGTTTATACGTCAGGCTTACTGGAAATCATAATCATAAAGTAATGTTTCATGTAGATGCAGTGAAATTTTTAATTTTTATGCTGTATTTCTTGCCAGCTATTCTGATTGTGGTGGACCATGCTAATCAACTGTGTGAACACCAGTTATTCCCTTAAAAAAAAAAAAAAAAAAAAAAAAAGGTTACTTCTGAGGGTTTGAAAACGGCAGAAACACCTTTAATCCTATTAGAACTGATGGAATTTGCTCTACCCTTGTAAACTGATGTTCCCTAGACTAATGCCAGGTATGGAATAGTTTGAACTTTCGTCTTTCCACTGGAGGGATTAAAGAAAGAGGGAAGCCAATTACAAGTGTTACAATAGGAGAGATGCAATTATGTGATTGCACCCAGGATCTGCTGTTACAACAGCCTAATGCAGAATAAAATAAAATTTAAGCTTATTATTGACAAAATCTTCTATTTCTGCTAAAAAAAACAGATGTGTCAATATAATGCTGAAATATCTGCAATATTGTGCATATATTAAAGAAATTTTATGTATTGTCACTGCCTTTAAAAGTTTGAAAACACTGGGCAATCTTTCCTTCCTGGCAACAGGAGGCAATATTCCTAAGTGCTTGTGCCGTAGCATCTGCTCTGGTGCTGCCTTCCATTGGAGGTCTAGCCAGGGCTGAGTTTTGCCTTAGCAGGCAAAGCTGAATCAGCACAGATTACATTTCTTCACAGCCTGCAGCTCCCCAAAGMAAGAGTTCAGCTAAGCCAAATCCCTCAGTAGCCATGCAACAGACCTCAGCTGCATCAACAAAAAACAACCAACTCATGCTCCAGTCTAGCTCACAGGATTATAGGTAGACCAGAAGTTTTGGCCATTCTGTAAATTGGATTAATCAGTTGCCAGGTATATAGAGGCAATTAATGTAATAAAATCTAGCGTATGTTTGCAAATCATTTATTCTCATCAGAGTTAGTGGATCTGCGTAAAAAACTTTCCCTGACTTATTTTATGACATCTTTGCTTATACAAAATATGAACTGGTAGGCTTGGCTGTACTTACTAAACAACTAAATGAATTAATAAGCAACATATGATTTTTTTTTTATGAATAGGTACTAAGATTTTTCATCCAAAGCTCAGCTGTGTTGTGGAGCACAACTAAAGACAATGTGGTGTCTACAACAAATATCCTTTGAGTGACAGGTAGAAATTTTATGACTGTGATATTGAAGATAGTTAGCTTAAAATCAATAGAAATTAAAGTGGACCAAAACCTCTTGTTATTCCCTGAATTATTTCAAAGAAACCTCTAGGCACAGCTACTGGTGGGTATTTGCAAATGATGATCTGGAGATATGTGCTAGCCACAGTAAATACACAAAATAGGAAGAATGAAAATCTCTTAAGCTTTTAACTCAGCATTCACAAAGAGRAAGCTTCATAGCCAACTCTCTTGTCTGACTGAAGACTGTTTTATTCTTCAAAAGAAACAAGAGTGAGTGCAGGTTACAATTTTGCATCTGCTTTGTTGTCTGTTATAAAAAATAACTTTTCAGACTTCGTGTTTTAGATAGTAGGACTCAGAATGTTGAAGTTGGAGGTGTTACCAATAGATYTTTAGAAACAGGAGTGTGGTAACAGTTGAAATGAGGAGTGATGGGTGTAGGAAAGAATGACCTATCTCTTGCTCCTGGCTGATGGAGGAAATGAATTATGCAGAACATTTAGCCACCTCTTTGGGCAAGGACATGATACATCTCTGCTTGATTCTGAGTAATCCTTGCCACTGACAATGATATATGTAATCCATAGGTAGAACATTCATTGTGACCTTTGGTTTGCTGATAGCATTTCCTGAAAGAAACATGAGTTGGCATGCTTGCCAGTTTTCCTTTGAAAAGCTTTCTGGAGCTGGGTAAGGGTCCAACTTGTTCTTTATTATRGCAATGAATTCTTTATGCTTTCTCTTCTCTCTTTCTGCTTCGGAAAAGCAGGTTTTATCCAGTGTGCTGGGAGGCTGASGGAAAGATTTGCTAAAAATTGCCTYRGCAGTCACCATTTGGGAGCATGATATGAAGGGCAASACATAAATGTAATTCTACAAGTGGRTAATGCATTAAATGCTGAAAGTACAAGCACTGATCTTGCAGTGAGCAGCAGTGGTCACTGGAGCTTTTCTCCTAAGAAAAACATAAAAGGAGAACCATGATTCTTAGAGTAAAGAGCATCTCTAACATCTAGGTACATTTTCAAAGTCATTTTTTCATCAGTTCATTCCATCTATGAAGTGTGGAGACCTCAGCTAAAATTCTTGTACCACTGTTCAGGATCAAGTTTTTAATTTAACCAGATCAGTAGCATACTATGGTGAATGCGTTTTTTAAGATCAAGTAAATTTTGGAACAGGTCTCTGTTTACAGGGTCATAGAATTGCTGAGGTTGCAGGGACCTCTGGGGGTTTTGTGGTCCAATCCTCTGCTCTAAACATCTAAACAGGTTGCACAGGACTGTGTGCAGCTGAGTTTTGAATGTCTCTGGTCTCGGGTTGGAGACTCCACAGCCCCCCCGAGTTGCCTTGTACCTGTGTTGGACCAACCTCACAGTGAGAATTCTCTTCTGTTTAATTGCAGTTTCTTGTGTTTYGAGTTGTGCCTGTTTCATCTTGTTCTTTTGGTGAGCCCCTGAGAAGAGCCTGGAGACATCTTTGCTGTCCCTTCCTTGTCACATGGTCATGCTCTTTGTTTCTGGTCAGCTCATCCATTGAGGGTCCTGGTTCTTTCTCTGCTAATACACTTAGCCAGCCAATTACCCTCCAACCCCTGCTAGCACAACAGGAGAGGGAGGGCTAAACAGAAAGGCAGGAGGAAGAGAAAATGACAAAGGGAAAAGAGTAGGAGAGTGGTGAGAATGTGCAGGGGAATGCAGGCGTCTGGAGACATTATGTTGGTTTGCCTCAGCCCCAGGTTTGCCTCAGCCCCATTACACTGCTGTTGAGGGAAGACCACATGTCAATCCACAAGTGCTCTTGTTCCTGGTGATTTAAGAAGGATTTAATGCATCCTGTTGTTAGAAACAATGACATTAGTATGAGTCAACAAGGATGTGTGAGTTTTTTCTCTGAGGTTGGTATATATGCTTCCAGGGCAGCCAGGGATTTTCAACAGTCTTTGAAAYGGCATAAATTCGGGCGGTTTTGGTATGATTTAATAAAAGGTTTGGCTGAGCAGCTCACTTCACCTTTTTAAGGTGTCTATTAAGTCAGACATTTTCAGGAAGATCCTTCCAGTAAAGCCTGAAGAAGTAATAATAGTTTTATGACAAGCCACTGGTACAGTATGGTAGTTATGGAAGACATGGGTGAGAGAAGCTTTCTGTGGTCACTTAAAGGATCACAGACACTCATATGTTAACCCTGTGGTGGTCCTTAGAATAGATGGTGCAGGACTCCATTTAGGAGTCCTTTATGGTGGTCATAAAATGGAGGTTGTGCAGTAAGGTTGATTCTGATGTTTCATAACACATGTCTGCACGTACATGGGAGCGTATAACTCCTTGTGTTTGGAAATCACACCGGGAGTCTTTCACAGCTCAGAAGTAGTTGCAGCTTGTCCTTATCATTCGTCCATATCCACATCTGTAAATGTCACTCAAAGTGTAAATAGGTCACTCAAAGTCATTGGTGCAGTGCCTGTCTACTCTTTGTACTTTTTGTTTTTTCTTCCAGAAGATTGAAAGTCACCCAAGAAACACAAAATATTGTTTTCCTTTCCAAAGTCACCAGAGTTATTATCCATGTGATCCATGCAAAGCTGTTAGAACAATGGCATCAGAGATCCCTTTACCTGCATCCAGGCACATGCCAAAGCTAAGAGCCAGATGTCCCTTTTCTTACCCTGCTACTTCTTTCTGCCAAATCGAGTGATCTTAGTTCATGTTTTGGTGAAGCTCCTCTGCAGCYCCACCATTCAAAGGACAGCACCCACGCACCTCTGTCTGAGCCCTGCTTGCTTTAGGACCCCTTGGTGCTACAGGGAAACAGAGATTGATCACTTCCTCACAGAGATGATTGGCTGTGTAGAGCCAAAAWTACTTGTTGGCWGCCTCTCCTGACCTACAGGCTCTGGTCCATCCAACAGGTCTGAGCTGGCAGGAGGCTTTAATGTGTTAAGACCAGATTTGCCTATTTGAAGGTATTTGACATTATGTTGGATTTGTATTCTGTAAGAGAGATGCAGTATTATGCTAAATCCCAACACAAGCGTGGTATAGCAATTGTAATACATAGTGGAATTGCAATGCGAGCTGCTTCCCCGTGCCAGTCTCTGCATGCTCTACTGTCATGAAGAAGGAGGATTTGTCCTAATTAGAGAGGTCCAAAACCGTGGGTTGAATACAAATATTGCCTGGAAATGTTCAGATAACCTGTGTAGTTTGGCATTTTCAGTATTTTTTTTCCCAGCAGTTTGTGTTGTGGTGCTTAATTTGCAAGAGTGTGTGKTGTATCTTTTCCCCTTTTTAGGTCATGACTGTTACTTTGTCAAATGCTTCTGAAGGACAAATCTTTTACCTCACAGAAACTTAKTCCTGAAACTTATTGGGAGTAAAAGGAGAGCCTGTGTGATGTTGGTCATTATTTGGAGATTCAAAATCAAGGATTCTAGGGTAATTGTGTGTGACTCAAGATCTGTTTGAATCAAGGAGGAGGCACAGATCCCATAAAGCATCTCCCAGGGTCAGGGCTTTAACTGGCTCCATCAGGAGTTTCAGGTTTGAATAGCAAGATGTAACRTGTGCCATCAGTGTGTGGCATGCCAGCTCTGCCATGCAGAGTTGGGGTGGCTTTTTGTGCCACCCTTCATGGTGAGAATTCACATCAGGATATAAAGCTTCAAGCGGTTCATGAAGTGTCACCACTGATGGTTTTTAGGCATTCTGACTGAAGTGTGTTAATTTTCAATTTTCCATAATAAAAAAGGGAGGGGGAGGGCAGCCTATGGAAGATGTCTATACTACAAACCACCTATACACAAAGATATGCTAACCTTAGAAATACTCATAAACGAAGTGTGTTTCTGTGGAGGGCAGGGACAGCTTTTAAGCAGCAGGAGCCAAAATGTGGAAAGCAGCAAATACACATCTCATTTTCTGTGCCATGGTGCTGGAGCCAGGGGGGTGGGGTGAAGTCTCATAATGAAACAGTTGTTTGAGCAGTAGAATACAGCTCAGCAAAGCAGCTCTTGAACTAACATGGGCTGCCTGTCTGCCAGTGAACAGATAATTGCACTCCRTTGTTTAATTGAACTTCCATGAAAACTGAAATATGTTTTTGTGAAATCCACCACGAAAAYGTGTTCTGCTTGTGGGTCYTGCATATAGGGRTCAAGGTGTTGGGGATGGCTGTGAGGTACAGACGTGATGCTCTATGTGCTGAACTGTCTGCAGTGCGAAGTCAAGCATGTATAAATAACTCCCTCATGGCTTCACAGAGGAGAATTGTACTGTGTAAGCAAAGAACCTGTTGCTTTTTTTTTTTCAGAGTTCCTTTTGATTTGGGTGACCAAATTTAGATACCTGGAAGGCACTGTAGCTCTGGATACATTTGAGGAATCTCACTGTGATTTGCTGAGCAGTTAAAAAAAAGAAAAAAAACTCTGTCTGAATTTTCCTACTGTCCTACTAATTAATTTTGTTCCTGAAAACCTTTGAACAGTGCCAATGTCACTTTTTTGGAAGTTTTTTCTTTTTTATTACATTAATTGCTGAATATAAATCTTGGCCACTCTGGCAGCCTTCAGTTTCTCCGATTACTAACATTCTTATTCCGGAACTAATATTTAAATTGAACTTAGTTTCCTTCCAGAGGAATTAGCCTTTAACAGATAAATTAACAAAGAAATTGACAAATCAGAGATGAAAGCTATACCATGTATTTTTGTTCAGTGTTTGAATTTCATAAAGTTAGGAGCATGTTTTCAAATATACAGGATATCCACATATGGAATGTGACAATCTGGAAAGTCTGCAAAGAAAYACTGAAGAGTCTTCTACTTATACTCCCGAAAATCAATAACCTACAGAAACAATGTGGTCTGTAATCCATTACACTGAAAGCTCTGGAGAGCAATAGGAGTCACATGGCACAGAGCCACATGTATTTAAATTGAATGCCTTATAAAATGAGATGAATAAACATCTTGGAATAACACACCCACTTCTGTAAATTTACAGGTTGCACCAGCTGGCAGCTTAAAAACAAGAAGGCAGGAATCTGGAAGAYTTTTTATCACCAGGAAGATCTGAAYTAGTGGACTCTATGGATATAGATATGTTTGAAGGCATCTGCTCTTCCCAGTACAAGGTAAGGCACAAATAGATTTCTCTGCCTGTGTGTTTCTGTTCTATGCAGTGCAGCTGTCTTTTGTGGCACTGCCCAAAGCGGTCATGGAGGTGTTCTCCAAAGCCACTTGTTCAGCCCACACTGCTAAGATCTGTGGYCAGTTATTAATAACAATGTATAAAGGGATGATGTGCAGATCCAAAAAAGCCTCCAGTTTCAAAAGGCAATGATAAATTTGGATGCTTTGGGCTGGTAAAATTCAAAGTTTTATTATATGAAGTATCTATTCATATAGCCCTATAGCTATAATATATGTTTATTTTTAGCATGTACTTATAGAAGACCTTCCTCCTCACCTAAGGCATTTTTTTTATGGGGTTATTAATTGCTGTAGATTGAAATAGACTTGAAACCTGTACTTGGTGTAGTGGTTAATCATGAGAAAACTCTCTAAACTGGATGCCAGAAAATGTCTTTGACTGGAAATGCAAGTTGCGCCATTTTCTTTCTACAGTTTTAGCTGTCTTTCATTTTCAGGATTGTTATATGGTTTGCTTACAAAATCTGCTTAATTTTCTCCCTACCTGTAGAAATAATTACTTTTTGATCTAAGCTGAAGKTGGTGGAGAGCTTGATTCATTTTCTGGGCATCTTTTGCCTGATGCCAGATATCACTGTCACTTATTCTGAATGTTTCCTTTACTGAGTTGTTCTCCTTACTGAGTTATTCTCATGGAAGGTACAGAACACAGATTTTCAAAAGGTTACTTGAAACTGGTAGAAACACTTGAGAAACACATGAATGGAACTTGTTTTAAAGTAAAATTTTGCATTTTCAAGATGATGTAGTTCTGCGTGTCTGGGGAATAGCTATGTGGGAGTTCTTCATATTTTAACGATTCTGATCAACACAAGTTTGCTACAAAGCAAATGCAAAACCATAGCAGCTCAGGAGCTCAAATCAGGCAGCTGAACAGTTGGAGAAAGAGACAGCTGCAACTGGGCTTAGCTGGTGTCTGCTTTAACCCAGAGAGGCTGAAGCGAGAGGACYTTCAGCTCAAGTCAGTGTGACATTTCATTTCTCTATTTTTGCCAGCCAGTGTTAAATGGTAGGGGAAGAATCCTGTGCAGTGCACTGCCATTCCTTCAGTTCTGTGTGGAAATGTGACCACCAGTGTCATCAATCTGCCATTTTCACCAGTGTGAGATTACCACTCAGTCTCCCTTTGTGGAGTAACTAAATTGAAGAGATCCTGAGGTGGGGAATGTAACAGCCTGTTGCACAGCATCCTGCAGAAACAGAAGGGCTCCCTTGCATGCCAAAATAACAGGAATGAAATGTATAAAGTATTCAGAAAAGGCAAAGGTAGCAATAGCAAATACAACTTAAAAGGAAAAACACATTCAAACTCTTGAGTACTTGAGATACTCCAGTACTTTTCCATAATTATTGTTAGAAAGGAATGTACATAGATCATAAAAAACCTGGTCTAGACAGCAGACACTTCTCTGGAGAGTTTCGTTTCCCATACCAGATGGTTGTGTAACCCCTGGTGTCCACACTCAAATGCTCCAGTGGAATYTGTATGGCTCCCACAAGCACAAATGCCTGCTGGTCTGTGCTTTCATGTTTGAGCACCTTTACCCGAGCTGCACACGGGAGGGGCAGGGAATGACAGCTTTGGCTTTGCATTTGTGCAGTGGCAATACCATTCCCTGTGCCACCTTGCCTGATTTAATCGGTTCCTTCTCTGGATCAGAGCTCCTGAGTTTGTGCTTCTTGGCACAGCAGGGGCCCAGCCTTGGCCAGGGCCTCTGGCTGTTGCGTGGCCAGTAATCCTTCCAAATAGGATTTGCATTCTTGCAGCAGCCGTTCTGGGGACACAGAATGAATACATGGAGGCAAATTGTGCTTACACAGACATAGCTCGAGCCCAGCCATTCAGAACACCAGTCAATGACAGAGTTGCACACAAATTGAGTATCTGAGTATCTGAAAAGAGCTTGTACTGGTGGCTAAGAAAAATGTACAGGGTCAGAGYATTCTGCAGTGTCTTAGTTACCTGGATTTATTGGTGCTGCTTCTCAGCAGAAATGTTGTTAGAGCCCCGGAGGTGCTTTGTTACTTTTCATTTGCCAAAGGCTGCTGTCCCTGCAGTGTGACARGGAATGGAAATGTGAGCTTGCAACGCAGCTGCTTCTGTGAACAGTCTTGGTCTTCACTTTAAACTTCATTGCTCTTTCAGTGCTGGGCACTCCCTTTTTTAAAGCACCTGAGATGATCTACTATAGTGACTCTTGTGTTGATATAGTATATATAGTGTAGTTTATATAGTATTTGTTGCATAGTGATTCTTGACCACTCTAGTCTGTGGCTGCAGGATAGAATAAATAACTGGAGGTAATGGTGGCTTAAATCAAAGCCAGACTCTGAATTCTTATGCTTTTATATTGTGTTTTATTTGTGGGCATTATTCTTGATAGTCTTTTGTCTCTGTTTACCTGTCTTTGGCTGAGAAATGATTGAAACACCAAGCATAACTTAGGAACTGAAGGAAAAAGCTACCTTCTGGTTTATACCCAACACAGATATTCCAATACTATGAGTTTCAGTTAATATTCATTTCATGAAAATTAAAGCCTGAAGAAGCATTTAAAAACCTCTCTAAAGTTCTAGATTAGAAAAGTTAAAAACTGAATGAATATTTTCTKCAACCCATCCAAATGTTTTGTAGCTCTAGTTTTGTTGTGGGTGTTTTGTTTGTTTGTTTTCTCACTAGAACATAAGGACACATTTTTTTCTCCATATTGAAACACTGGTAATTTTTAATTGAAACATTTATTTTTAAGCTTAAGGATAGCTGAATCAAAATTAGTTCACTTTGCTAGGAGTTTGCAGCTCAGCGAAAGATTTCCTTATACTTAAATAAAAAAAATATTTTGCTTATGGTTTAGTCCTGTCTTTCTCCTTTCTGGTGCACTGAATTTTATGTTCCTATTACTCACTGTTCTAGTAGTGCTTAGGGATCCCAGGCCCTGATGAGGCCTCAGTCATTCTGCATACTGTGCTGGGTCCCACACAAATTGGAAATGCATCTTTCTGCGAAGAACGTATGATCAAAGAGGCAAGAAAGATTAGATGGGTATGACCCAGGAGCATAGGGACAGTGAGACATTTTTCATCAGTGTGATAAGTAGTRCCTTCAAGAACCTGCAGGCAGCCATTTACATATACAACTCTGYAGCCTTGAGGTGATCGTGTTTTAAGGTGGTGAAGAATCAAAGCATTTCACAAGCAGGTGGGGAAGGAACAGAAGAATTGCCCATTGTGTCACTACAGTACTCCCTCTATGATGTTTTGATTTGAATATGAGCAGTTTGAYTTAAATCAGCTTGGAAATGGGAGCAGGTTCTTTTCCTTCTGGAAGTGAGTGTGACATGCATCTTGCCTGTCCTGCTGTGTAATGTGTCCTGACATTTGCTGGCACAGTAAGTTCTTACTAACTGCAGTGACACTTGCCCCGTGTGACATAATTCAGAACACTTTTTCATAATACTTCCACTTGAACTGAAAGCAGCCAAACTGTCTTTTCTAATTTCAGCCCTCTTGATCCCTTGTCCCCAGTGATAAGCTCTGCTTTGCAGTGTTTCCCAGTACTGCCTGAAGTAAAAAGATGAGATAGCTAGCAATCCAAGGTTTTTCCCTTGTTGCCACTCAAGAGCATGCTAGAAGTCACTGATCCTTTATGAGCTTCATCCTGAAGGAATTGGCTTCACAAGTTACCCCTCCCAAAACAGACATTAAGATATAGAAATAACAACAGTCACCTAATAATAAGGTGTAATTGTTCTTGCCTGTATTACTACTAACATTGACACCAGACACAGAATATTATACTCAAAACTCATCAAAAGAAAAATGGTATGAACAAAGATCAGAGTCTAAACACTCAAAAAGCATTTTTCTAGTTTTTATATGGGAAAACTTACAACCTCATTTTCAATTTGTTTCTCAAAGGAAAATATTCAGTATTCTTTAGTAAAGAATACTTAAACACTTGTTGCTACTTATTCTTCTATTCAAGCACCATGTGAGATGTGGCTGTCATTTCTTGACGACTACATGGAAAATAAAGATAATAATTCTTTTGATAATATTCTGTTCATGTTGATGCCACTGGATGCACATAATTCACTCAACTTGGTGATCTGTCCCTGATAAGTTTGATTACTATTTCTAACAGTAAATGATAATGTATCTTTTGGGGGGTATGAGACAGCGGAGATGAAAAGTCTTTGGGTGCAGTTAAATGTTGTAAAGTGTGGTGGGTAATTCACCAGTAAGTGAAGGAAGTTTGGGAGTATGGAGTCTTTTTCAGTATCTGGTATGAAAATAATCTGGCATACTGTGTAAGCTCAGACTGTGAAATACAAGTAAAATATAATCTTGCTGTAGGACTAATCTAAGGGTGTTCATCAGTACTGGCAGAAAGAAAGAAGCACAAACGTGGCTGTGCAACGTGTGTAGTGCTTCCTCTGATTTTTTACCAAACACAGAAATTATAGCTGGGAGATTTTTAGCTATTGAATTATTTAGCCTCAGGTTCCTCACAACCCAAAATGAGCCATAGCTTTGAGGACAACCAGGTRTCAGCTGTGGAGTGGGGAAATGCCCTTATCCCACTCCACATACAGATGGCCACTGAGATTAGCCCAGGATCATGCAAAGCAGAGAACTAAATTCCACTTCTAAAACCAAGCACCAGACCTGGCTATCTCTTACATCTGTGGTCTGATCTTTCTGCAGAATGAGTGGGCCATTCAGTTAGATTAAGGATCAGTCTGTTAAATTTCAGCTGTGCATTTCTAGGTCAGATTTAAAGTGAGTAGAAAGGTCACACTTCAACTATTTGCTCTTTAGGAAGAGAACTGAAAATAGTAAATGGAGTACAGAGAGCTACARAAATTCAAGGGAGATTCACTTTTCAAGAAGCAGGCCATGCTGAACTTTTAAACTCTCG